CTCGAATATACTTTAGATTAGTATGTGGGATAAAATAAAATTATAAAAAAGTATAAATATGTAATTTTATTTTCTGGAAGACAAATTGTTTTATAAACTATACATTATTATTGATGTTTTTTATTGCTTTTGCACGTAATATTTCCACGCTTGTTACTGATATACTATAGCACATGTTATTGTCAAAGAGTTATTCTCCACAGAACATTAACGTAAATTTAAATCAGCAAAGTACTCATGATGAAAACTTAACTCAGCCCAAATACTTGATCTGAAACAGATATAATTCATGTCAATATAGTAATAATCCCTTCAAACAATGGCCAATACATTCAAAATGTTTAGAGTTAACAGAATATTGTCAAAAGTTTTTCTTTTCCTATCATAGGAAACCTGCAGACAGTGATCAGATGATTTTGTGCTTTTTATTTGCACAACACTTAACTTACTTTCCATGATGATTACAAATCGTGCATAAAATTTTGAAATACTGTATTCATTTATAGTCAATATCTTGTACAGAGTTAACATCTCACAAAAAATCTTACCTGTATATTCACGACGATATTATGAGTGTGTATTCGCCTACATAGGAAAACGAAGTCCATAATAACTGAATTTAAGCAAAATCAATAATAATTATTAAAAACTAAACTTATGAAATAAATTTTAATAATTTCAGAAAATATTTTCAATATGAAAGACGTTGACAAACAAATGTCTTTTTTCTATTATTTCATGGCTTCTTTTGATAGAATTTTGCTAATATTTAATAATTTAATTTAAATAAATTAATAGGTAAATTAATTGTGCAAATTTCGGAGTAATATCTATGTAATTATACTTTAAAGAGCAAACCAAAAAAGTTTAACACAGAATTAACATTATCAGTTTCTTCCGATATAATATGAATTTGTGTATCTAATTTTTAAAATGGCAATCTAAAACAACGTGAAGGAAAGAAACAGCGATATTTTTTCTCGCTTTATTTTTACAAGCCCAACACACTCATTGACAAAATCATGATTGTGTGCAGATTTTTCAGCTCTCATCTCTACACTCCATATCTCATACAAAGTCAGTTCTCAAACTCAGTCAAACGTCAGTTTCTCTTGGGATGGTCGATGTTGTAGAAACATCGAAGATGACATCGATGTTGACATCGACAGCTCAACATCGATGTTCGATGTTTATCCTAGTCAAAACATCGATGTTGGCCATTATCGATGTTTTTTTGCACATGTATTTAAAAGGTTAGAATTAAATGAATAAAAAAATTGTCATGCTGTTTATGGTTTATAATTAATGAAATAAAAGTAATTAATAAATAATGTAGTATATAACAGTAATTCAAAAAAAATTGGAAGAAGTTCACAAATATCTAATTCACTATTATATCATCCAAAATTTTTGCAGATTGATTGAAGAAATAGAAATTTGGACAAAGAAGTACCTTTCAATCTGTTCCTTTGTTGATAAAGAGATGAGCCAGCTATTGAAAATAATTTAAAAATAAAATTTTGTACAACTGTCTTAAGGATAACTCAAAAACTATTGGTCAGACTTATATAGGTCTAATTTATATAAGACCACATGTGAAGCACCATGTTCAAATAAATTTCAAATAAAAAAAGAATCATCGAAATCGGTTCACCCAGAAAAAAGTTATGAGGTAACGTTAAAGTTATAAGGTTAAAAAAAACATACAGTGGAATTGAGTACCTCCTACTTTTTGAAGTCGGTAGATAACCGGTCAGATGGCGCTGATGTAGCGATTGTAGTCAAATATCTCACCGCAAGTTTTCTTTTTAATTTTAGATAGGTAGAACCGATAACATTGTACTAAACATGCATTGGATCGTGTTTAAGATCAACCATCGGTTTTTTTAAAACAACCGATAAAGAAACAGATAACCAACAACGACACCAATAACAAACTATGGAGTGTAGAGTAGAAGGAGAACCATCTTATAAGGTGCGAAAGTTGAAAAAGTGTCCCAATATATACTGAAAATAGAGGTTCCAAAACCTACCACAATAGCGCTGGCGTTTGAAAAACTACGATATGAATATAGCTGTTGTAGACGGAGTGAAGTCAGCTGAATTAAAATATTTAAAAAATTTCATGACCAGAGTAGTTAGTAAAATGCCAGTATACAAAACCTCAACTATTTACGTAGTACAAAACCAAGCGGATTGGTCAGTCCTTGTTTATTTCTCCATCTTATTCTAATAAATTTTGGCGCTTTTTTTAAATTTATCCTATGCTACTACAGCGCCACCCTTATTAGACGCGTTTTTAGGGACACTTTTCATATACAGAGATGGTTCTCCTTCTACTCTACACTCCATATAACAAACGAAATCAATGACAACTGCGACATTACAGTTGACACTTGACAGTTAAATTTGATACCCCATAATGATATATTTTTAGGTTATCGATGCGTTCAAGCATTCTGAATTATTCAAAATTTTAAATATTTCAGAGGAGATGCAAAATTTAGTTGATATTGTTTTCGCAGATTCGCAAGTACCAAATAATTGATTATGGGTTTATTAACATCGATGATCATTGACCATCCCTAGTTTCTCCATCTAGTCTGTGTACAAAGAAGCGCAAACTATATAGAGAGAGTTTTGGCGGGAACTTGATCAGCGGCGGTTTGCTGCTCCTGTATTATGGTTTAAATAATGGTTTGAAGTGGACTTTGATATGTAAAAGTGGTGCGATTTTGTGTATTAATTGTCTACGCATGTGAACTATTAGTGGAAACAGTGAAACAAGTGCTCTGATGGTGATGGATTCTCAAGATAAGCTGTTTGTTTGCATAGGCGCCTTGAGATACCATCGCCAACTATCAGCTGTCTGCTGGCTCAAGTTGCCGTCAAAATCTCTCAAGGGCTGCACAATGTGACGCATCAACATATTGTGAAGCAGTGAACTATGAAGGATAATTATTTATAATAAACCGAATAAAAATACTCAAGACTTGGCCTAAAGGTCTAGATACCAGGCCATAAACTCCTATAAAAAAAAACTATATAGAAACACTACGCGTTGTACAAAGTTAACCACAGAGTAGCTACGGATGTGACATTGAGTGAAAAAAATCGATTAATAAATAATCGATTTTTTGCTTTGTGATAATAATCGATTTAAGAAAAATCGATTTTTTTATAAAAAAATAATCGATTTTTGCGAAAAACAAATTTTATTCGAAAAATAATCTTCTGGTTTTAGAAATAAACTACAGAAAATTTTTTTAACATATAACTTTGAACAATAAAAAACTAAAAATAATTACTGCCACAAATGTTCAGTGCCATTTAACAATTTATTACAACCAAAATAAACAGAAACGATAAATTAAACTAAGTTTTACGGATTTTATCGCGTTTGATTTAACTTTTTAATTCCCCACATTTCAGGTGCTTTACAGCACGTATGGTCACAGAGGGGACTGAGGTGTTTGACGTCCCTATCTCATAGTTAAACCACAAATCCTCGCAAAAGAACACCGATTCCTACCAAGGATGATTCGCTAGGCTATCGAAATTAAAAACATCCTAATTTCAATAGAGAAGATGGATGGGTGCTGCCATCTGCTTGGCATCCTATAATTAATAAAATTAAATCCAAACCCAAGCATACCACTGTAAGACTTCAAGATACTGTAAGCTCATTCTGAGTAGATCGGACTAAAAATTAATATTCAAATACTGAATTTAGCCAGGCTAACTATGACATCTGGACGTCAAAGACCTCAGTTCCCCCCGTGACCATGGGTGCTGTGAAGCACCCGAAACGTCAGGAATTAAAAAGTTAAATTAAGCGTGATCAAATCCGTAAAAATTAATTTCATTCAATGTGTAGTCTTCGCGTAAATATAAGAAATCATTAAGAAAGCATAATTTTAGTAAACGATAGTTTTTTTTTAAACTAAGTTTGAACAAACAATAAGTCTAAATATCAATATGCCACTAATGTTCAGTATCATTTACATTGGGCTAGAATGAAAATAAAATAAAAATATAATTATAAATAATCCGACGACAACCTTTTGATCTCAAAACTAAAATAAAAGACAAATCTTTTTTTACACTAGTGTAAACCAAAAAAGTAAAAAAAAATATTGCCATGAATTTTCAGTTAAAAACTTTAAAAACAATCATTTCACCAAAATTCTTCTTCGTCTCTTTCCCAAAATACGGTTTCGTTTTTTCCTGACTGTATTTCCCGCTTTCAAAAATAATCTTTCGGCTGGCGCGGAACTGGCCATCACTGAGATGTGTTTAAAAGCCAATTCGGTTAGTTTAGGGAAAGTTCCTTCAGAGCTTCTCCATATATTGAGGGCATCTATCTGCCTTGAGATTTGATAGTGGTGCCGCAATATATAGATCCAATTCAGTATTTTTGACGTAGTTTTGACGTGTTAGCCGCTATCATTTTTTCATTATAAAATACTTCTGTCAGTCACTTCTACGCGTTTCACAAGACATTTTTATTGTTTATATATAATTGTTTACACTAACCAAAGAAAGAAAGAAAACCACAGAATACTTTTACTCCTAGCGGAGGAAGAAGCCTGTTGAAAACATACGAAAAGCGAAACTGCTTTACATACATAGAGATACATAAAGGTGGCGCCGTCTTTTGATTGACTTATTCATTGAGCTTACTTCACGTTTTTACATCCATCGCACAGATGACTCTGATTACAAAAATCGATTGAAACGCGTAATTTACATAAAAATCGATTTATTAAAAATCGATTTTTATTATAAAAAAAATCGACTTGGAAAAATCGATTATAACAAAAAAATAATCGATTAATATAAAAATCGATTATTTTTTCACATCCCTACAGAGTACACTGTACATTATATATATGAAGTTAACTCACCCTGTTTTAGGGTTAACTTTTAACTTAAAATTAAAATAATATTTTGTTTTACTCTACTAATTATTTCTATAAAATTGTGTAATAATTTAAAATATGTCCTCTGAAATCGATAGTAAAGTAATTTCTATAATAAATAATATTAAGGAAAATAAAGGAAACATACAAAATGAAATGCCTGAAGCAATAGAACAACCTAAAACTACTCAAAACCTTATAAGAGGCAAGCCTAAATCTGGTAGATTTTGGAAATCGAAAAAAGAAAGGTAAATCTTTTATATTATGTTATAATTATCTCCTCGAAAAATCTCATAAAGGTAACGCGTAGATTTTTAGCACTATCCATTAGTTTATCTGTATGAAATATAAATCTTAAGTATTATATAAATAAAATTAAAATTTTATACATTTATTCCATTGCTAAACAAGCCTCCTCATAGACTGCCTCATTGGGGTATATTTGTCATAGTTGCTATACTTTGCAGGCGGGTTGGCAACCGCAATTTTTTTAGTAACTAACTTCATGTATATAATCAGTGCATTTTGCACGTGGACAGAATTTAAATATTATCTTAGACAGAGCTTGATATATCCAATGACTTAGTGGTGCAAACTGATGTACTTACTACTGTTGCTGGAAACAGCTGGTCAATATAGTAGAATGTGGGCGATCATTTCCTCATATCCCATGCAAACTTACCATAAAAGGTTGTCTGTATACACATAAAGAGATGTTTATAAACAGAGTCATGCTCTGTTACTGCACTGGTGACTAGTCCAATTTATAATTTGTTCAGTATGAGTAACTTTATGGAAACATTAATGTTAATAAGTAAGTAGAACTTCCCTAGCCTGCTTATACACTCTGTTGTTAACTTATGTTCTTAATCCAGGATTGTGTAAGTTGAAACTTGGTACAATTTTATACTTCGGTCCTTCCACTTCCACTGTGTCTAATGCTGAATTATAGGTGGCAAGTTTGTCAGCTGATCTGCCTGAGATAGATCCCCTGTGATTTTTTATTGAAGTATTATGTCAGCACTGATGATCATGGGATGCTGGATGCTGTTTAGTACCCGCAACATCAGAAATTAAAAATAAGTTAAAATTAAAAGTGATAAAATTAGTTTTATCACTAAATTTAAGAAGTAATACTAATAAGTAATACTAATATTATTGTCTGGTGGGTGTTGTAAAAAGTAACAGAGGGAAACATGGTGATGGTCATCACCATCTTCCTAATAATAATTACAAAAAAAAAATACTGCTGTTGCCACATGGCAACTATTTCAAATATCCCACCATGAGGCAGTTTATAGGGGAGGCCTATGTTGAATAGTGGACTTTTGATAAACTATTACAGTAATGTTATGACTTGATGGAATTGTCTTTTTAAAAATCCTTAAAATATAAAAATATGTGGTAAAGCTAGGGCATCAGAACCGGTTTTTCCTGGGTATTCCTGGGTTTAAGGGGTCACGATAACAGTATCCGTAAAGTATATTCTATGATAGAATATTGTAATGTTATAATAGAATAGAATCTTTCTAAATTATTTTTATGTAGAATTATATTAAAATTTAAGTAATGTGAAATAACTGTTAATGTGCAATTGTAAAATGAATGTTCCTAATTAGTGAGATGTTTGATTACATTTAATTAGAAAGAAACTATTGCAATTATTACTTGAATAATTACTTTAACTCACAATTTGCAATAAAATGTTTTCTTTATAAATATATTATCGTTATTCACAAGAAATAGTCTCCAACCTAAAAGAAAGGAAAGAACCGGGTACCCGGTTCCGCCAAAAGTTTAGAACCGAAAGAACCGGTTCCTGGAAAGGGACCGGTTCTCGATGCCCTAGGTAGAGACATGCAGCTATATTAGTAATATAGTTGTAGCACAAATGGGTCGGCTCGACAGGGGTCCACACTCACAGAAAACCAACGTAATATAGCAGCTTCACAATGCTGTGTTTCGTATGGTGAGTGTAGAGAACTGGAGACCCTTTTTACTGGAAAATCATTTTAGTACTCACGGGTGAAAATGCATCTGCATTTTGATTCTTTATTGAGGGTAGATGAAGATGTCTATGGATCACAACAACTACTTACCATCAGGTGGACTGTGTGCCCGTTTGTCACCCTATCCTGTAAAAAAAAAATCCTTATAATTTGTATTATTCAATAATATGTAGTATTCACATATATCATGCATTATTATTAGTTATTATAAATAGATTTTAATGAATTCTTTTAATATGTATTTTTAATTATTAATAACAAAAATTCCTGTTTAAAGGTTTTCATCAATAAATAAAACCAAGGGACTCAAATTGGATTTCCAGAAAAAAACGGCATTACGTATAGAGCTGAAGCGTACAAAAGAGTTATCCAAAAACATTGTTGAGCAATTAAAAGAAAAAGAACTTCAGCGTAAAGAGAGAAGGCGCGAAAATATAAAGCGGGCTGCTGAAAATAAGCAAAAGGCAGAGATTGTACAAGTTATTACTAACACAGCAAAACTAAAAAGAATGAAGAAAAAGCAGTTAAGATTTATCCAAAAGAGGGACACAAATAAGGCTGTAGAAGAAAGTAAATAAAAGTATATCTCTTACACATTATTGTTTTATTGTTTAAAATTTCATGCTTATGGAGACAACAGACAATTTGAAGGAGAATAAGCTAAGTTTAATTTAACTAGTGTGTCACGCTCATCTCCACATGGTGTTTTCATAGCGGTAGAGCCACGCGGCAGCTTTTGCTGTCGCACGGATGGGCCGGCTCGAACCGGGGTGGTAGCACGACCTCACAGAATACCAGCGTGAAGTGGAGGTTTACCTCTGCGTTCCGCTTGGTAAGTGCAAGTGGCCGGAGGCCCAATTCCTTACCCCCCCCATCAACATGGTAACGGAATTGAACAGAAGACTGCACCAGAAGGGTACCAGCACCCCTGGAGAATCCCTCGCTGAGCATCCACGACGAAACAACTCCACTCCTGGGCGTGGGTGCTCAGGCTACCCCGCGTATTCTAGGGGGGGGGGGGGGGAGAATTCCGCTCGCGACTAATACTGCTCGATACGTATTTTTACAGAAAAGTTACACTATTTTAAGCACACACACAAAGTTTCAACATTCGGAAACACGTAATTTTTGAAAATCAAATATTTATGTCAATTCCTACCGTGAAACTGACGCCATTTTTTATTATTATTGTCAGTAGGGATGTTGATTCTTTCCGAAAAAGATCGATTTTTTTTAAATAGATTCGAAGTGTAAGCTCGATGTATCGATTCCCAAAAAATCGATTTCTAAAATATCTATATTTTTTTCATGTTTGCATTTATATTGTAAATATAAATCCATTTTATAAGAAAAAAACTCCCTTCATAATAAAAAAATAAGGGGACTGATTCAGAAGGATTTCTGTATCTATTTTTTAGAAGTATAATTCCGTCTCCAGGTCCTTCAAAAGTGTCATTGCCAAGGCAAAGTCAGAGCACATCGGCAGAATAGCGAGAAACTATTTCGCTTCCCTTCGGGAACACGTGCATTCTGGTCTCTCGCCAAGGCTGTCCAAGGGAACTTCTGTCAGCCATCTCTGCCATCTCTGCACAGGGTGGACGACTCACTGGCCCATAACGCAAAGGAGAAAGCCGATCTGCTAGGCTCTCTTTTTGCTTCCAACTCGACTCTAGATGACGGCGGATCACACCGCCGACCATCCCGCGATGGAAGTGCTGTTTACACAGCGCTCGGTGCGTAAAGCACTCCTCTCCCTGGACGTTAACAAGTCGAGTGGGCCTGATGGAGTCCCGCCTATTGTGCTGAAGACGTGTGCTCCGTAGTTGGCATCGGTTTTAACGCGTCTTTATCGGTACTCCTACTCGCTAGGCGTAGTCCCGAACTCATGGAAGACAGCTTTGATGCACCCGATCAGTAAAAAAGGCGACCGCTCAGACCCGTCCAACTATAGGCCTATCGCCATCGCCTCCTTGTTCTCCAAAGTAATGGAAACCATTATTAACAGCTACCTCATGTGGTACCTTGAGGATCACCAGCTGATTAGTGACCACCAGTACGGTTTTCGTCGAGGTCGCTCAGCTGGTGATCTTCTAGGTTACCTAACTCATAGATGGGCGGTAGTGGAGTCCAAGGGGGACGCGTTGGCCGTTAGTTTGGACATAGCGAAGGCTTTCGATCGAGTTTGGCACAAAGCGCTTCTTTCGAAGCACCCTTCCTATGGGCTTCTCGAGAAATTTTGCAATTGGATTACCAGTTTTCGGACGGTGCATGCTCCGATTACAAGTCCATTAACGCTGGTGTTCCACAAGGCTGCGTGCTATCACCAACGCTGTTTCTTCTGCATATCAATGATATGTTGCAAACCAGTAACATTCTTTTCTATGCAGACGACAGCACTGGTGCTTTACTGGTACCGGCCGTGCCAATATTTCAAGGGAAAACGTCGCCGAGTACCGGAAAAAACTTGTGTCTGAAGTCGAGACTTTGTTGAACAAAGTCTCAGACTGGGGCGACTAAATCTAGTCCAGTTCAATCCCCAGAAGCCAGAAGACACAAGTTTGCGCGTTTACCGCTAAAAAGAATCCCTTTGTCGTATCTCTTCAGTTTCAAGGCACTCCCCTTGTTGCCTCAGCCAGTATCGGTATCCTCGGAGTCGACATATCGAGTGACGTGCAGTTTCGTGGTCACTTGGAAGAGAAGGTCAAATTGGCCTCTAAAAAGCTTGGCGTGCTCAGCAGAGGGAGATAGTATTTCATGCCGGCACATCGCTTGCAACTTTACAAAGCGCAAATTCAGCCTCACTTAGAATACTGTTCTCATCTCTGGGCCGGGGCCCGGTACACCCCAGTGTCAGTTCCTTCCACTTGACCGCATCCAGCGCAGAGCGGTTCGAATCGTCGACGACCGAGTTCTTTCCGATCGGCTTGACTCACTGGCACTGCGTAGAGATGTTGCATCTCTTAGCGTATTTTATCGCATCTACCACGGGGAGTGCTCTCAGGAATTGTTCGGACTAATTCCAGCCGCTCAATTTCACCATCGCACATCGCGACAAAACTCGCGATACCATCCATATCATCTGGATGATTGGCGGTCCACCACTGTGCGATTTAGAAGAAGTTTTCTCCCTCGCACAACTTCCTTGTGGAATCGATTACCACCAGCGATTTTTCCGGACCGATACGACTTAGGGACCTTCAAGAAAAGAACCTACTCTTGTTTTAAAAGGCCGGCAACGACAATTCCCCTGGTATTGCAGTTGTTCATGGGTGGCGGTAGTCACCATCAGGTGAGCCGCATGCTCGTTTGCCCCCTCTCCTATATAAAAAAAGTTGTACTGTTTGGATGCTGACAAATAACGAAATTTTTTGTAGGAATATATGGATGGTTAAATAATCAATGACATTTTGCTAGTCACAACATTATTCAAGTCTTTTGGTCAATCGTTTTTGTAAACAAAGTTACCACAAATATATGTTCCACAAATTTATTCATAATAATAAACTTTTAGTAATAAGATTTAAATGTCGTGGATTGACACCAAGTGGAGCCAAGGAACCACCAATTGACACGGTCATTGAGAAGATGGTTAAACGCAAGTGCAACCATCAACTAATATTTAATTAATACATATTTTATTATTATTCATTCATTTATTCACATTTTTGTCACTTTGGTATCACTTTCAATATTTGTTTAGAAAACGTGTACATATCTTACGTACCATGTTTTAAGGCAAATAAATTTTCTATCTAGGTATCTATCTATTTACATGTCGGATGCTCTTGAAGACGCGCTACGGCTAACTTTTGTAAGTGTAGTTATCCTACAGTAAAGATCAGACAGCCGCCATATGGCAGGCCTGCGCGCAATGCTATTCCGCGAAAATACGATATTTATATACAATTAGCCAGACCCAGTTTTATACGTGGTAGAGCCAAGCTGCAGCTATATTAGTAGTATAGTTGTAGCACGAATGGGTCGGCTCGACCGGAGAAGGACCACGCTCTCACAGAATACCAGCGTGAAATAGCAGCTTAAAACTGCTGTGTTTCGTTTGGTGAGTGTAGAGAACCGGAGACCTTTTTAAAAGAGGCATTCCATCTTAGTCCTCACGGGTGACAACGCATCTGCATTTTGATTTGTAATAGAGGATATATGTAGATGCCATAATTGTAAGTTTAACGCTTGGTCGATAAAAGAAAGATGTCGCGTCACATATTTTTAAATAGTAAAAAATGTGAAAAAGACAGGTGACGGCTCCGTGGCGCAGTGGCTTTGCAATGAGTTGCAGCGCTAAGGTCTGTGGGTTCGAATCCCGCACGGAACGAGTTTGTATGGCCTACAAATAATTGTTCTGGGTGTTTGTCATTGTGAAATCTATGTATGTAAACTGCTGCCGCGATACAGGAGAAAATCCTAGTGTGGAGGTAACGTTTTTTAACCTTTATCTATGGACGTCATTTTTTTGTCGCACTACCATGGACGCGCGGTATCTCGGGCCGCTATGTTATGAAGCCAAAATATTACATAAATATTTATTTTATTTTATGCTATTATTTTTATTATTATCTAAGCATATTAAAATGAAATAATTTGGATAATTTTAATCAATATTTACCTATTTCTTACTTAAATGAAGCATATCAACTGTTAAAGCCACTTTTTGGCATAAATTTGCTAGAGATCAGTTTTAGGACTAAAAACTTAAATCAATTAAACTTTTAAGAAAAATTAACATTATTTTCTATAAATCTAAGGCTGATACTAACATAAAAACCAATTAAAATCTAGCTAGATTTACTAGCAACCAAAGCTGGTAATCCTGGCGGTATGAATGATGATTTGAGATTGAAAGAAAAAACGCAGACTTTAGACGTATAAATAAGAGAGTAAAAGAAGTTGTTGAAAGGAAAAAGCAAGAAAGGATAGATAAGAATGATAGAAGGATATCTAATAACTTCCAGGCAAATATTAAAATGTTCTGGAAGCTCGTAAGAACGTCCGGAGTTCCCAGTACGGGAATCACCTTAAAAACGGTTAAGATTTATATTTTTTTTTACAATCAAATATTTAGAAGAAGTGACTATAAGCTATAAGTACACAAGACTGTGTTAAAGATTTGAGGATAAAATAAAACAACGACGACGACGTGACACGTCGGTGTCGCTCGCAGCAATGACCTCTGGCCAAAGAGTATAATAACTGTCCTATACAGGAACCTCTGGCTATGACGTTCTCATGCCCGGTTCTCGATTCTCGTTTAGCACTGTGCTTGTCTCCTACCCCTCGCCCTTCGCCCGCGTACACACCGATCGGACAAAACATGAAAACAACGGCGCGCCAATATTTTAGTGATAATTTTTTTTATAATTTACTAAACATAAAAATTTTACACGTTACATAGTTCATTCGTGCGTCTTTGCATATGTGGAACGACTAAAGATCGTGTAATATTCTTAGGAAATCACCTCTTCCTGTATTTTTGGCCGAATGTTGACTGTATAGAACATAAGCATTGATACCTCATAAGTCAAGACTTCATCGACTCGACTAATTTTGCTCGCACGCTGTTGCA